GAAGATGGGTGAAACCTTCAGTCTGGTAGAGTAGACCTTGATGTCACACATCCCTGTGACCTCTCCCGTGTTGCCCCTTTCCCTCCTGCCACCCAGAGGAGGAGGTGATGGCAGATGCAGGAATGAGCAGCAGTGACTCAGAAAGCATCACCCACCACCCCTGTATTTTAAAGAAGCCCCAAACATGCCATCACTGTGTTACAGCGAGTCTGGATCAGCCCTGCAAAGGCCACAGCCCTCACTCTGTGTGCAGGAGACTGAAATGTCCTCTGTTCAACCTCCTCCTCCACCCCACAAACTTCATGGGACCTCGCAGCCCCTCTGCCACTTATTTAAGATCAGGTTCTGTCCAAAGAGGGATATAGAGGCCCCTTCCTTGCTCCTCTTCCAAGTAGTTCCCCCCCACACCTCTGCAATCAGGGACTCCCTCTGCTTTTCGTGGAGGCCAAGTGAAATACAGCTCTTGGATGTGGGGCTGCACAGCTGACCAGACAGCTGGCACGTCCTCATGGAGGACCTGCCAGAAAGACTTCATTTCTTGTTAGGATCTTGGAAAACAAATCCCCTCTGGGTTTCCATCTCAGATATGATACTGTCTGCCCATGTTTATGCTGGCTGGAAATGGGAGGGGGGCCCGTGTGACCTGAGCTGGGTGGGACTTCAGGAGAGCTGGGGTACAGGCAGTCCTCCAGCACCCCTCCAACACCTGTGGGTTGGCAGGTGAGGGAGACCCAAACGCTCACTGTGCTCAGTTTTGCTTGACACATATGGCATGAAAGGCTCTGAAGCAATAACTCATGCTTGCAGTTGCTGCAGGGGAGACCTCAGACTTTCCACTGAGCTTGGTGTGAGAGCTCCCTGCAGCACCAGGCCACAGCAGGGAAAGAGAAAAATTAAAAGCTCTCCACAGGATAACAACCCTAGTGGCTTGTGGTCTTAATTCCTTCCTTTGCAAAACAAACAGCACATGGTGTGATTAAGGGAGCTTTCTGGGATACACATATTTGGATTCTTTCTTCCCTCCCTTGCCAAGACCATGAAAAGCCCTGCAAAAGCTCTCTCATATGTCATCAGAAACATCTTTTACCTAATTCTCCATTTCATGTCTTGCAGGCCAATAACTGCAATGTCATAACTGCACCGCGTAGAGTTAGGACACCAGGTAGGATTCAGTCTAGCAGCTCAGAAAGCAACTCAACCACCCAAGAACAAGCCTTTATGCCACTGTGGAAGCCAAAGCTGAGAATGAATGAAGTCGTTAGAGAAGATTGCTTTTCAAAGATTCAGATTTTGAGCCAGCACATCCTTGGGCTACCTCGCACAGCACTAGATTTTCGTAACAAAACAACTTCTCTGCTTGAATGTCAGTGAGATCCCTTTGGACCAGCAGTGACTTAGCTTTTGTTTGGTGCTTCTTCAAGCAGATAGCAGGTTATGATGCCATTTACCTGGCTTGCAGGAAGACTGGAGCTTCATCTCAAGCTCTGAATCACTGAGTGACTTTACATAAAGAAAGTAAACCATTAGCATTTTTCTTAATTCTATGCTCTGGTTTTCTTTCTCATAATTGTTGTAGGTGTGGAGAAAGGGAAAAGATCTCTACACAGGCTCTCAGCTTTGCTCTGAGGCTTTCTGTGTCACTTCATGAAGCTCCAGCAAGTATCTTCTCATAGGTTAACAGCAGACATAAGTAGGAGGGGGACCCATGAAGAGCTCTGCCATCGCCCTGCAGCACTGCATGACCACGGGCAAGTCACCTCCCTCCCATGCTTCCCTTCCAATATTTATCCTAATTGTTTACCCAGGTTGGGCCCTATTCATCCCGCTGCATCGACGCTTCACCAAGCACCTTGCCTCAGCAAAACAGGGTGTGCTTCTCATTAGCATACACTAAGTATTTGCTTTTAGATACAGGGCTTTTGGTCAACAGTTACAGTTGCATCTATTTGGTTATAGCTTTGAAAATCTGAGTAGGCTTGCCATTTCCTATGAATGTTAAATTCAGTAAGGTTGCCCTCTTGAAATCATTGGTAAAGTAAAATATTATGACTTGAAGATCCTGCAGATAATTGGGCAGCTGTGCTGCGTGCCATTGCTTGCTAGTTGCCCATTCCAGAGGAAAGCTGTGCTCTGGCAGGGCTGAAGTGTGCAGTTTGGCATCTGCACTCAGAGGCAGAGGGACAGATGCTACCGACGCTGCTGACATCCATAACCTCTGCCTGCAGGTCTGGGCAGGAGCAAGAGGTGAGTTCATGTTTGAGGAGACTGACCTGTCCCAAGAGTGATGATATTTGAGGAGCAGAGTCCACTGTCCTCCTCCAAAGCCACCAAAATGAGGAAGAGCTTCCCTCAGTATCAACCAAACTTTTCCAGAGTCACAGATGTGGGGTAAGGGCAGTAGGCAGGAAGGAGAGGCCTCGTTCACAAGAATGAATAAAGGTAAGACAGACATGCCATCTGCAGCATTTCCATGCACACACTGTCCTAGATCTGGCAGCCATGTACGCTCCTTAATTTAAAGGCCTTGCAAATGAGCAGAGAAAAAAGGGACAGGAGTATTTACAAAAACAAAACAAAAAAAAAAGGTGGGATATAATGAACAAGCTAGGGGTAGAAATGTGCTAGTGGGGCCAGAAATATCTTAAGCTGACTTAGCTGCAAGAAGCCAATATACTTTGAAGCCACATTCACAAATGTTAAGTACAACATTTTGGAGGTTGTAATGTGAATTTCTTAACAGTTCATGAAGCAGCAATGTAGGACAAGATATGAAGAATAGTTTGTCCCTAATTTCCCAGATGAAATTATGGCAGCATTCAACTTCTAGACATCCCAGTCACAAATGCAAACAAAACCAGTTACAGTTGTGTCTCTCCCCAGCAGAGGAGATGCATGGCTGGTGTAACACAGTGCAAGCTTTCCCATGCTCGTACAGCAGCAACAGAGAGATGGCAGTTTGCCAGGCCCTAAGCAGGTCACTACAGCATGATGCTCATGTCACCCTGTCATGCTGCATTTTCTCCAAAAGCTGTCCCAACTTTGTAAACAGAACATGCACAGACTGGACACTGCTTAACACTACATCTACTGCATGCCCCAAACTCCTAGCCCAACCTCTCCTTTCTGTGGAGACAGCACCATGGCCCCAAAGGGTAAGAACAGTGCAACCATGGGACTTACCCTGCTGTCATGCCTGGATAGAACCGTGGGGTCCACTAACACCCTGAGGGCTCAAGGGCACTCTTGGGCCTTCCTTTGGGCATGTTTATTACCTAAACTTTGTCCTCTGTTGATTCCTGGCCTATTTAACGCTACTGTGGCTCACATGATAGGAAGGTGAATTGCTATGTGCAATGAAGTTATTTGCATTGATATCCTCATCATAAAGTCTGGAAGACTTGCAAGAAGAGTTAAAGTTGATCTCACAGATTATCTCATTGCTTCAGGCTGGGGTGTAGAACTCTAGCACCTTAAAAATGTGAAGTCTACTAGTGGTATTTCATTACCTAAAACAAAACTCCTTTTTGAGCACAAAGTAGGATGTTTTCAAAGCTCCTCAAAAGACTGATTAGAGACTTCACTCTATTCATACACACTTAAAAGGAGAGATGACTAAATGTGGTAAGGAGTGAAATGTGTCACTCACTTTCCCTCTTCTCTTTAACAGCTCCATCCAAAGACTTTTTTGCACCCATGAAGTGTTAGGCTGGTTTGCCTATGTACACCTAAAGAACATGGTCTGGAGTGGAACAACACCTCTATTTTCAGTCACAACATTTATTCTGCATACATATATTTGCACCAAGTCATGAAAGACAAAAAAAAAAGCCAAAAACTTGTGGTGGTTTTGCACTCTTTTCTGTTCAGAGATGAGCAAGAGAAAGGTGTTTCTCTTGAGAGAAAGGTGTTTCTCTTGAGAGAAAGGTGTTTCTCTTGAGAGAAAGGGAGGAAGGGGTTAAGCATCTCTAAAACTAGCTGGGCACAACTGATGTCAGATATCTGTTTTACAATGGCATCTATTTGCTTTCCCAGCAAGCAGTATATGGATCACTGGGCACTGCATTGTTCCAAGGATAGTGGAAGATGCCACATATCTTAGGAGAGGATAGATTTTCTCACTCCTCCTTATTAGGTAGAAGTTCTTGTTTGTTAAATAACTCCAGAGTAGAATCCAATCAGAAACTCCAGAAAAAAACTGTTTTTAATTTTTTTCACTTCTGTTGTTTCCTGTGTGTCTGTCTCTGATGAAATTGGCCCAGCTGTACTCTGTGCAGCTTCCTTGTGTCACTGTAATCATGTAATCATGTGTTCTCCACTTAAAAGCAAATCAGCATCATGAAAACTACAACTGTGCTCTCAATTTTCTGAAAGCCCCTCCTGGGCATTCAGAAAAACTGCAGGGGAGCAAAAGCAAAAATCCTTAATGTTTTTCTATTTGGGTATTTCAGATTATTACAGATATGATGACTTCGCGCAAAGTTAAGACAGGGACCTGTAAAAAGAAAGTCTACTAAGTTTAAACAGAAATGTAATGCTGAACTTCCCAAAACAGACCTACTGACTGGGACTCAGTTCTTCTTGTAGGCACACTGAGTTTACACACATTTTTATCAACTGAAAAGTCCCTGAGCAGGCTCTGTATTCATTTTCCATGCATTTCCCACTTTTTTTATGTTCTATATATATGCAGTAGCCCCCACCAGGAAACTCCAGCTGGCCGTGCTGCTGCAGTGGCAGCAGGTAGGGACCCAGCAACACCGTGGATTAGCAGAGGGGAACTTCAAAAATCAGCTCCAAGCAGCATTTCCAAGTTTGGGGCAGGTTTCAGAAAAGCAATACTGGGCTGTAATGCCACAGCGCTTTTAATCTCCCAGCTAAAAGCACGACTTGTGGCATTTTTACATCTTTGGAGGAAAAAGTCACGGGGAGCTGCCCTCCGCTTCGGCACAGGGAGCTGGCAGCTCCGAGGAGCATCACAGCACAGAAATCCAAGTACTCACCCGTCATCAGCGTGTAGTAATTTGGGTAGGAGAGGCTGGGGAAGTCTGGGGTCATGTAATCCACCTTCACCCCCATGTTCACAATGTCCCGAAAGCCCGGCAGACCCTCCAGCTCGCTGTCATCGATGTAGTCGAAGCGAAAGCCGTCGAGCAAGAATACCAGGAGCTTGCGGTGGGCCGAGGGGGCGGCGGGAAGCGGCAGGAGGGCGGCGAGGGCAGCGGCCAGGAGGGCGGCGAGGAGGCTGTGGCTCCCCATGGCAGGCAGCAGAGAGGGATCTGCGGCAGCTCCGGGGCCGGACCTGGCACTGCTGTCCCTGTCCCGCTTCCAGCGCCCGTGTTAAAGCTACAGCGCTGCCCCGCGCCGCGGGCGTGGGAGGTCACAGAGTAATTGCAAGCAGATGATTAACCTCGAGCTGAGCGAAGAGCTCGATACTTCCCAGCTGCAGGAAAAAATGCTTCGCAAGGAGGGGGGAAACACAGGCACAAAAGTAACTGGAGGCTCTCGGGACACTGGGCTGACACACCCGAGGAAGGCGAGCGAGGGCACATTGCCCGTGACCCTGGCGAGGAGGGGCCGCGGCGCCCGGCCACCCTGCCAGCGCTGCCGGCACAGAGCGGAGCCCGCTCCACGGACACACAGCTCCGCTTCGGCGCTGCGGCTTGCGGAGGTCTCACAGAGAGGGGCTGCTTTCTTTAAAAGAGGGTGTTACTTCCCCAGCAACGTGAATGTGCGCACGCTTCTCCTATCTCCGGCAGTGGTTTGGGGTAGAAACTCAGGCTGAGATTAAGGCAAAGCATCTCTCCAGTGGGGAAGTGCCGTATATGAGTTGAGGTCCAGTGTTTCAATGGCATGGCGGTACCGCAGAGCACCAGCTGAGCAAGCTCACCTCTACAAGGACGCGAGTCCCTGCGAAGGACCCTGTCCTCTCTGCTTCCTCTGTGCTGCACTGGGACTAATCCAGCTCCCGATGCACTAGTAGAAAAATGATGCATTTCTGGTTGTTGATATTATTTAGATATTAAATGCTGGATGGTGCCCAATTTCATATTAAAAATGAAAACCTGTTCACATTTTAGTCACAAGTCACCGTGAGGTTCTTCTCCTTCACAGGAACCTGACTATGCCTCTAATGCAATGCCAGCACCTGTTGTACACCATAATTGCATATTAACTCACTAATGGATTTTGTTTTTCCCAAATAAAAGAATTTCATAGTATTCATAATGTTGTCTCACACACTGTGGGAAATGCCCTTTGCAGATGTTTACACCTGGGGAAGGTTGCGATAGCTGGCCACCACCCCATTGTGGATGTCTGAACTTCTGTCTGCTCCTTCCAAAGCTCCCAGTTGCACATCCAGCATGTCCAGTTGCCTCTTACCAAACACCAGGTTGATGCAATCTCAGCAAGATGGCTTTCAGCCCCCTTTGCCCCAAACACTTACTCACCCCTGTGCAAACCCCCTCATGTCCTGGCTTGCCTTTTGTACTGTGCACTAGTGCCCATGAGCCAAAGCTGCTGCCTGCAGGTCACTGCTCCCAGGATATGGCTGGAGAGGTGCTGTCCCTGCCCTTCTCCCATGGGGCTTCCAGCTCAAAAAAGAAGGTGCCCTGCCAAGGGAAGGTGTGCTGGGATTTTCTGTAGGAGGGAGTCATTCCAGGCAGGTGGAAGGGGATGAAGTGGGAGCCTGCAGCTGAGCAGAACTGCTCAGGCCCTTCAGCTGCCTGTGCTTGTGTTAATTTTCTCAGTAAAATTCCTCACACTTCTTCTCTTCTAGTGGACTATATTCATTCCGCATGGACATCTCCCTGTCTGTGACTCACCCAACCACTCTTTTCTTCCCTTATTTTTTTTTCTACTCCCATTTTGGAACCCAGCATTTGGGACATACCCTCACATAAGAGTTACACCTGAGACAAGGACTTGGAGCATTTCTAAGCTCCAGCCCAAGGATCTTTAGAGCAACATAGGGAACTGCCCCTCAGGGCTTTATCCCTCTTCACATAGCATTTATTTTTGAAGCCTTGCATTGCTAGCTATCATCATCTTGACAACTTTAATTCTATGTTTTGACTTTTCTTATCTTGCTTGGCTTTAGTTCACGTATTTTCTCACAGTGCAGCAGCAATTTTCTCAGCAAAACCAACCCACAGCCATGCTGCACCTCGTGTCAGAGACAGCTGAGCCCTGGGGCCATCCATAAAGCTCCATGCCTGGAAGAACATCTGGACTGTGGTCCCCAGTCTGCTGGGATGATAACAGGTCCTGGTGCCTTGAGCAGACATTGCCTGGGAGAGCCAGGCGGTACTGGCATGCTCTAGCCTGAACTTTGAAGGAAAACACTCAAGTCCTGCCACACGAGGGAAGGCCACAAGGCTGCGTGACCCAGGAAGCCGGTCTGTGTTCCGAGGGCGTCCCAGCCTGTGCAAGGCTGCCATTGCCCTGCAAACAGGGGATGAGGCTGCAGCTGCACGCCGGGCTGCTGGGCGACGTGACAGCCTGGGCAGTGGTGTGGGCAGCTGCCTGCCTGAGGGACAGCACGTGCTGTGTGTCACACCTCTGCAGAGTCACCACTTTGCTCGGCTATCTCCAGACTCAGCCAGGTCTCAGCTGAGGATCTGCCACTTCATCCGCCTCCCGAAGGGAATATGCACGTCCTCCTCCTGCTGCTCCTCTCTGGACTTGAAGAATGGGAAATGGCCCTGCAGAATCTGTGCTCAGAGACAGCACTTCTACCAGTGCTTGCAGTGGATTTTCACTAAAGCAAAAAATGTATGTTATGGGCTTGGAGCTACCTGTAATGTCATGTCTTGGTCAAGCCACTGTGGAAATTTTTATGTCCGTACTTATGTTGAATGAATTCAGAAACATGTCCAAAAATGTAGAGAGAAATATTATGGTAGACCTCTTGGCAAACCCATGAGGACATTCACATTGATGGCTTGTCTTGTCCTTTAATGGGTGGCTTCTGAGCTTACCAGCAGGGCTCAGCTGAAACGACAGCTGCTGCCCATGAAGGAATGGGATAATAAAGGAGAGACAATAAAGTGTCCAAAATGGACTCCCACCTTGAAAAGATGACCAGTTGATTGAGGTGGTTAGGCCAAGAAGTCAGGCTTTCATCATGAAATGGTACAAAATATATGTCTTCTTAACATTTCATGGCATTAAGAAATAATGCCTTCCTTTCAAAAGGGTTGAAATCTTCTAGCTCTCTCCTAAGAGAAAGCTCTACTTAAAATGGCACAGTGACATGAGGGACAATTGGTGCAAGGTACCAGAGCTCAAGGTCTGCTTTAAGAATTGGAGGTTCACAGGTTTCCACTCAAGAAATAACAGAAGGATGAGGCCTGAGAGGGGTTAAAGGACTAGAGATCCAAGTAACCATGACACTGTATAATACCAACTTGTGTTTTGACAGACAATCCCTCTGAAGAGTGGGACTGGAGCCAAACAGTCTAGCTTGGCAGAGACAGACCCTAGCAATATATTTCATCCCTGCCAAGCAATGTTGATTTGCTTTGGTTCACATTCATTTGTAAGCAGCCTGTCTGCACAAAGCCCCAGATGGCCGTGGGGACTCCAGCACAACAATATTTTGATACAAATGCTCTTACAAAAGCTATCAGAGCTTGAGCTGGTGTCCAGTGACAACAGTCCTCACTAGTTAGTTGTTAGACTGGCTTTAGAAAGAAGCATGCATAAAGGAAAGAAAATCCCTCAGTTCAATTTGTACATGAGAAGACACCCCATTGATCCAAAATTTGTTTGAGAAAAGATCCTCAACCACTTAGATTGCTCAAGAAATCCTCTTGGCAAAAACTGCCTCCAGTGTCCTTGAATCTTTTTTTTTCCCCTGGTTCTACAGAATTCACAAGCGCAGCATGAGAAATGAAAGAAAATTCTCTGGGCTCACACTGACAGTTCAGTCTGGCTTGTCAGATGTACCAGCCTTCCCAGCAGTGCAACTCTACCTGTGCCCTTAGGTCCAGAAGCACATGGAAGAACAAGAGCTGCTAAAAGTAAAACATGGTTTCCCTTTACCCAATGAACTAGAAAATCTAAAAGGGAAACTTGTCCTTCTTTCTCTCCTGAAAGAAAGATAAGAAGTCATAACATGACTTGTCAGTTTGTAATTCCTTTTCAGTTCCTGTTCTCCTTCACACACAATAGTAGTTGAACACTTTGGCCAACACAGCCTGACTTCTCATTAGAGAAAACGGCAGGCCACCTCCAGACATAAAAGCCTTGAGCTGCTTGCATTCCTTTGAAGAAGAGGAAGAGGATTTCTGCCAGTGTAGTTTTAACTCTGCTGGACTAAGGTCCTTCTTCCTCTTCTCCCCGCCAAACCCAAGATAAAAAAGACAAAAGTGGAACCAGCCCCTCTGCTGACTTTCACAGAAGACCTCTGGCGATATGTGTATCTGCTTTCTGAACTGACAGAAGGTCTTACCTTGGTAGAAGTCATTGGCTGCAGGAGTTTAGTATCAGTTTCTTTGCTCCTGCACTGAGCATTCTCACCAATGCTTCTGCGTGGAGGTCTGCATTAGGCAAGGCATCTGCTGCTCCTTCAGGTCTTCTTGGTTGATATTTTGTGCCAAATCAGTTATTTCTGTTGTGTGCAGTAGTTCAATCATGAAGAATTCAAGACAAAGGAAATAGGTTGCTCTTGCTGTCAGTCATGAACAGATGTCTATGACAAAGTCACACGCTTGTTAGCTACAGAGAATTTCAAGCATTTCAAAGCTAGAAACTGCAGCTTTCTTGGAGAAAAGCAGTGATCTTTCACTGTTTCTCCAAAAAAGAAGGCACAGTTTACCTCTACCCTACCCAGCTGGTATAAGACTTGCCTTACTGTAAACATTCACATGCTGGATAATGAGTACCTCAAAGTGGGACAGTGACCACACTGATTGAGAGCCAGGGGCTGTTTAATATTCTTTGAAGTGTCTCAGTTCAGGCAATTGTGTTGTTTAGAGAGCAGCTCTCCAAATCTCTTACTCCATCCTTCACTTCAACAGTCATGAGTCATATCAAAGCTTTTCTAGTTGAGGAATATCTATTGGAGATGAAGAAACTTAATGAACTAGTGGAGACCCCTAAATGGCTCCCTGTTTCCTTGCAAGAAGCTGCATGGGCTTAGTGCATCATTGTCAGCACTGGCCTGTGAATGCTCCCTGACAACATCCACACTGGTGAACAGGCTGTGCTTTCATTAAATGAAACTAGAATGAACAAAGAAGGTGGCTTTTCAC